ATAAATGACCTAGCTGCGATTCAGTGAAAAAAAGCAATTGTGAAAAGTGCAATTGTTGTGATTGTAAGCGAACACTGTAACGCAAATATTTGATGAACGTTGATGCAATGATCAAGAAAATGTTTCTGAAAGTGAATTAAATTTGAAGCAATTATGCACCAACAGTAATGGTCTCAAAGACTGCGTCACAACTCGATTGTCAACAAGTGTTATGGTTGTTCGGTGAAGATGAGCATATTACTGAAGTTGGTACAATGAATATAATGATGTTTTGGAGGAATGAGAATGGAGGTGAGACATGTCATGTCGTGTGCAAATGTGTTTGTGCATATCAAATGTGGATTATTCATTTGATATCCTTTCTTGTTCCATTCCGCTTCTCTAACACAGACTATCACATTCACTATTTGTTCGACTCTAAATGATAACAAAGCAAATTGAAAATTGTTCACTGAAATAATATACACTCAAATTGTCGTCAACAAAAGTCAATTAAAAGTTCGTAAAATTAACTCACTGGCTTTTTCGTGATTTACTAACACTAGCGTGCGTTGAAAATGTAGACGATGTGCAAGAGCATTCGGTTAATTTGACTGACTTTGCGTGCTACACTTTTGGAAGACACAGTATCACCTATGATCACATCTACCAATTATTCGCATTATCAGTTATTGAAATGTTTTATGTTTTCTACACCAGCAATTGCTTTGTACGTTGTTGATGGCGAAAGAAGTGAATGACAAATTGATTGATGTTAAAAGTTGAAAAATCAGAGGATAGAGGGTAAAAGCCTCGTAGCTGTCGATATAATGAAAACATCAATCTGTTAAATTCATTCGTATCACACCATTTAATTTGTAAATATAATGACAAACTGAGGTCTATGGTCATGACACTTCTTATCGCCTCAGAATGAGACATCGTAGCTAGAGAGTATCAGCCAGTTTCACTAGAAAAATACCGGTGTTTCGATTGTGGTATGTGTGGACGATTTCTACTTTATTTTCGATGTCATAACTAACAACCACTACAATACGCAGCAGAGATGTGGGCAGTAGTGCGTCGTTCCACTGCTAGCGAAATAGCTATTCCGCTATTTCGCTGACTAGCAAAGTAATGGAATAGCGCGCTATTGTCTACCTCTGGTACGCAGCATTAACCAGACGTGAGTCAACTCATCAAATTGTCGTTTTTATGACAGCCACTCTCAAGAGATCTTTAATCCACAAATATCCGGCACTACTCAATTGTAAATGAGTTATTCAAACAATTCATCAGCAAATGGTTTCAGTTCCTCACAGTCGATTTCTTTTCCTTATTGCACTTAAAGATAAAGCAGATCAGTGATATCTAGAACAACGTAAAAAAAGTCATTTGATCGTGATCGAATTCTTGTTGACTGGACGAAAAGTTGTTAATTGAGTTGGAAGTTACATTAGTTAGCGATTTGAAATTAGTCATCGTATTTAGAAAACTGATACATTCTAGTAGCGACACATCCAAACGAATGAATTGTTGAGCAAAAGCAATTATGATTTCCACAAAAAAAAATTTTTACGTTTACAGAAGAGGAACTGGTAACAGCTCCACTGGACGATGGCGTTATCTTACCGGGCGTGACTCGTGATAGCGTGCTGACCTTGGCCAGGGAATGGAAGGAATTCAAAGTATCTGAACGAAATGTTGGCATGCAAGAGATTCGAAAAGCTCTTAAGGAGAAACGGGTTATTTTTATGAGAAATTGCTTATTCAAAACATTTACGATCTGCAGAAACAATCACTGAAGCTGAGTTGAATAACACCTTTACGATAAGTTCATGTTATATCTTACAATCAGAATTAAAATTGTTTTTTGATGACATGAAGAAAGTGTTTGTGAAATTTTGTTATGTTGTTCCGAGAGATGCACTCACTTGTGATGAGCAAAACGTACGTATTTCAGCTTTACGAGATGTTTGGTACTGGAACAGCGTGTGTAGTATCGCCGGTTGGTCGAATTCTTTACAAGAATGTCAAGAAAAACGGTGAAATTGAAGATTTAGTCATTCCAACAATGGAACATAAACCGAATGTTATGCAAAGAATCTATGATACTATTACGGATATACAGGTTTGGCTATTGAACATTCAACCTCCTCCTCCCCTCTCTCCCCCTCAAAAAAGGAATCCCTGCACTCTTTTCATGGTATTTGAAGAGGAATATTCATGAAGATATCCAAATTGTTTGACAATCGATCGGCCAGTCTCAAAGTGGTTCGCTAAGTTCCACTCGTATTACGTCTGTCATTTCTAATGAATGATCACAAATTCATTTCAGCACGCCAGGATTCCTCGTGAAGATTGGATGAGACTTGTAGTCTAATAGCGCTGTCGTCAACTACTGTGAATTCTTCCTAAATTACGAAGCTTTTTCTTCCGAACAATGGTCACTTCCGTCACTCAAATTTGACACAAACAAAATTATTTCTAATGTTTGCTAAAAATGAACTGGTCATTGTTACTGTCATACTGCTTTAAAATATCCTATACATGTATACCTTTGCTGTTCGTTTACTCCAAATTATCGCTCTCCTGTCCTTATTTTGCTTTTGGTTTGACGATCGTTTCGGGAACCGGATTTTTTTTAATGGAATCTAATCGAATTTCCAAACGCAAATTTATTTTAAAAAATGGACGTTTGCATACTAACGCTCAAATGCTCTATGATTCTCGCCTTGTCGTCAGTAGTGTGCTAGATTAAGTAAGGCATTCGCGTTGTTTTGCTTCTCCATCATGATGAATTTCGTTGATACTCGTAAAAATATCATAACATGAACTACTGCTTATTACACCTGTTGCTTTAGGTTTGAAGCGTTCAATGTGTTTGTACGATTGAGATTTTTTGTTCATTTGATCGTCGTTACATGTTTTACTTCTTGTTGATCTTTCCATATTTGGTCGCTCATTTCAATACGTACCATTCAGTGATACTTCAACATTTTCAGTCATTTTATATTGCAGCCTAACGGCAAACCTTTGAGTAGCGAAAAAGTCCTGCATCTGAACATCCAAACAAAAAATATTCTGAAACATCAAATTGAGAGGAAGAAAAGTTTATCTGATCATGAGAGCTGATCATTTCATTGAATGAATCACGACGTTTATTGAAATCGCAAGTTCGTTGCAGTTAGGCGTTCGGTTGCTTACTGTTTGATACAGTTTACAGTTCGTGTGTAATTTTCTTAATGACAGGTTGTTTTTGATTCGTCCATTACGTTAACCAGTTGTTTCGCATTGTACAATTTTAAGCAATTCCAATAATAAATTACACTTGCTTCATTGGGACCACAGACCAACAACCGTGATCACTGAACAGGTTCGCTCATCTCACACGGATCAGTTCTGTTTTTCATTTCAACTCTTCTCTCGGGGAATGTTTCATTTTCGGACGAAAGAAGAGTTGAGTTCAGTCGTTTAGAGTTTTCAAAGTGGTCTTCAGATTGTCCATTTCATTCGGTGTTAGCTGATCGACTTCTTCAAAGAGAATGAACCACATAATCATTCATCTGTTTGTTTTGATTTTCTTGGATTATTTCATGAGATCAGTGACCAATAACCAACATTTGCGAGAAGGTAACAGTTGTTCCTTTTCCAGCAAATTCTTTTCTGACGAATCCAACAGGCCGATCAACTCTCAGCCTCTCAGCAAGCTTCTACAAAACTGTTGAACAATTTCAAAAATCTTATGTAAGCATCACAAAAATGAATTTCGAAACAATTGTCGATCGAACATTTTCAAGCGACCAACAGCACAGAAATCGTAGTTCGACGCTGATCTCATGATAGCATCATCAACCCCTAATACACAGTATGCTTGTTGGTTTTGAGGGTATGACTATCACAAACATACGGAAACGGCTCTCAATCAGCATAATAAATGAAACACTCTTATGTTCGATTGACACTTAATGAAAATAATACGAAAAGAGGATTTTACATGAGACGTGAAATGGTTTGTCGATGAAAGCAATTAGTTNTTAGTTGGTTGTTTGATGTTGTATCAATTTAAAATGTACTCTCTAAAAATAACGAACAAATGCTACGAATAACTGGTTTGTGATGCACACTGCAAAATAAATTGCAATAATTACGCTGCACACGTGGATTGCATTAGAGACGTTGAACTGGAATAAAGCGTAAATTATTACACTTCTTTCTCAACTACTTTTTTTTTAGAGAGTAAAACACTTCCTAAAGAAATATTTCATACGATGACGTGAACAAAAGAGATCTTAACAGAGTCATATATTTATTTTTATTATTCTTACTGTAATTGCTACTGGTCTAGCACAATAAACATATAATACATTATTATTCTTCGCATCACCACATCATTACAATGCACTTAACTTAATTCAGCGATAATTCAACATATTGCAGGTAGTATTAGATAAATTTAACAAAACGATTTAACAGATTAATAGCAAAAAACTTGAATAAACGGAGATCAATACAGCAAATTAATTCAGCTGAACAATTTTATTCAGCCAAGAAAAAAGTTTGGTGTTTCATTGAAAATCAGATATGTACGCGATTATGTTCGAATTTGTAAACATTAGAATAATAAGCTTGGAATCGCTGTTTATGAGTGAGCAAAATTCGGATCTGTGAAGATATACGACACATGTAGCATAGAAATCTCAATCATACAGTATTTTGGAAACATGGGAAGAGCACAGTCAAAAACAAAAAACAATGCATTCAATTCACTTGTGTGTGGTTAATCACTCGTAGGATATGATCACAAATCACAAAAAATGTAAGCTTTACAAATGGGATTTATCCCAATTTCATCAATCCTTATGAGGCAACTTTTCGATGGAAATCCATTCAGTGCGTTCAAGTGGCTCGATTCGAAGAGAAAATAATATGACTGATCGCAACATGCCACTATCAGATCACTTCAGATGATTTCCGTTTTCGAGTCAGTTTGGATGCCTGCTCTACTTTCACTGGTTGAACGTCTTTGCTCACCGCCTGTTTTTGTTTCTCGTCCAACTGTTCCCTTAATATTCGCTGTTCCATACGTAGTTGCACTTCGAATAATTCCTCTTGATACAGCTCACGGAATACTTTGAGTAATTTCGGTAGCAGTACCAAATCATCAAAACGAACTGATAGATTGTCGACCGCTACCGAAACATTCCCCAATTTGTCCAGATATTCGGGCAAGGCAGGCACCTGGAATTGCCAAAAACTGCTCATACAGAATCTAATGTTTACGATCAACGATTTCTTTGGTTGATATTATTGACCAATCCAGACTCCGTGATGAAAGAACAAACACATAATCACGCGTCGCAATGTGAATGATCGAGTGCTTCATACCCGTTGAATTACGGAGCTTTGATGTTTCAATTTGTAATCAAAAATACCCAATAACTTGTCGCATTTCATTCTAACAATAAAAAAAAGAATATGAATCTGTGAATTGAAACGCAGAAAACCACTTGCATACTTTTGGATAACGAGCACTGAAGTGAGTCAAGATGACACTCCTTGCTTTCATCCTCACACTAACATCGACGGCCTGTTTCATTGTGCTGTGCTTCTTTAAAGCTGCATCGCGCTATAACAAGCAATCATTGTATTTGTGACATTTTCGATGAATCAATCAGCGAATTTCACATTACTATGAAAATGTCGCGTTTGAAAAATCACAAATGATATGAATTTATACAGAAGGATCGATTTCATTGTAAATTTTTCGAGTGGAGTAAAAACGATAAGAAAGTTTCGATTAAGAACACGTGCGATATTCTGCTAGACTATTCGTGTATTCGCCGCGCACTCTTTCCATTCTGTTCAATCAACCAAACGGACAAACATTGTGTGGCAATTAAAGGAATGATAATGGTATAAGGGCCTTCCTTCTTGCCACGTCAATTCTATTGTTTACAACAGAGCACTGAACGATCACTACCTCATGATCATCCTCAAATGTAGCCTCGTGTACGAGTAGATCGGCATCCATTCCTTGTTCAACTAACAGATCGCATGGTTTAGTATCACCAGAAAACACTATCTTATGCCCCATTGTATCCACGAATACGAAACCGTT